TGTGTGTGTGTGTGTGTGTGTGTGTGTGTGTCTGAGTGCGCGCGCGTGCGCGTGTACCAGTACTAGGGCTTAAACTGAGGGCCTGGGTGCTGTCCCTTAGCTTTTTCTTTTGCTCAAGGTTGGTATCCACCACTTGAGCCACAGCTCCACTTCCTGCTTTGTGGTGGCTAATTAGAGATAGAAGAGTCGTATGGTTATGTTCCTGCTTGGGCTGGCTTTGAACCTCAATCCTTAGATCTCAGCCTCCTGACTAGCTAGGATTACAGGTGGGAGTCACTGATGGCTGGCTTTTGTGTTTCATATATATATACACGCAGCATGCAAGGACCTTGGTTGTGTGTGTGTGTGGGGGGTGCCACCCCTCACCTGGGGGTTTCTGAGAAGCATTAGCCAAGCCTGTTTGCAGGCTACAACTCATCCACAAGCAGTGAGTGTTTCCTGGAAGGTAACGAGGGGCCATTCATCTCTGGTTGCACCCACAATTATCCAAATTGCTAACCTTATTGTGCAGGGCGGAAATGCAATTGAGCTGGTGCTGGAGGCATGTTTGAGGGAGGGGGAATAAAACCACTCCAAGTAATTTAATTAACTGATGGGCAAGTACATTAAGAGGAGTTTTGCCTCTGCCTTTATTTTGGATGTGATTAAAAATAGAGTGCCAAATAATGCACATGGGTACTCAGAAATAGATGTCCCTGTCCTCGTACCGAGTCCAGCACTGCAGGACAAATGCTTTCAAAAGCTGACACCCCCCTTCTCTCCTCACCCTCCCCGGCTCCATTACAAATAGGACACTGATTTCTTGCTAAGGCCTCTAAGCTCTGGGCATCCCAAGCTTACAAGATGAAGGACTCTGCTTGTTCAGCATCTGTTGATCAAATGCCCACCAGGGCTGTGCTAGACCTACATTCAGAGAGGCACAGACTAGGATACTAGCTGTCCATACTCTGAGAGGGGAGAGTTCAGAGCCCAGCCTGAACAGCTCTGCCCAGTGTGGGACTTGCTATCTGATTCCCAGTGATGTCCCAGGGTGCAGGCGAAGGGGCCTAGTGAGTCTCTAAGGCCTCATGAAGATGCTAATGAAACCATGGACCTCTCTTCCCGTGAAACAGTCTTGGCACTGAGAGGATCGTCAAGGTCATGGTGAAAGGATCGTCAAGGTCATGGTGCAGCTGGCCGTTTGAGCCTGGCGGGAAGCATTGCTGTCTCCACTGTTTGCCTACGCCAGGATGGCCCTAGTGATGGGGGGCTCACTGCCGCCTGTGGGGGCTCACTTGGATGTGGGGCAGGTTTGGGGGCTGCAGTGGCGGTCTCTCCAAGGAACTCAAATTTATCTCCTTTAGGGAGCTGTCCTATTCATGAAGCCACACAGTCAGTTCCTCCTGCCCCAGTCCCTCCATTTCCCCTCCCCCTCCCACCACTGCATTCTCCTTACAGATGTTCAAGAATGACCCGCTCAGCCTGAGGTCCTCCCTGGATGCAAGCAAGCTACTGTGTACCAGGTGTGTTGTCATGGAGACAGGGCAGCCCCCCCCCCACTCCCCCTTGTCTGCCTGAAAATCAGGTTCCTGTTTTGTTTTTTAGCCTAAGACTCACTACATGGGTGATGTCACTGTCTTCTCCCACCAACTGGGCTGCCATGTTAAACCCTGTGCCAAAGCGGGACCAATAAATACACGGGACTGATTAGATCTCTTCGTTAAGGCCAATAGACGCGATGTTGTTTTTCATAGAGATGAATTCATGCAGGGTCAACAGGTTAAAGAATGACTTGCCATCACAAAGCTGATAGGGGTGAGGCTGGGACCCCCCTCAACCCAGCTCTACCTCATGGCAAAAAAATCACCCCCTGCTGGCCCTATCAGGCTGTGTGAGCTCATCCGCTCTTCTGTAGGTTCTCCTGCTGCTTTCCCTCCATCTCCTCACCTGCCAACCAGTTCACCTCTGCTCTCATGGGTCTATCCTTCTCCACCCCGGGGACCCCCCCCCCCCCCCCTCCCCATCTGCTGTTCAGTTTGCCCACCTCCCACCCAGATGTAGGGCCTAAAGCCCTCCCCACCATGTTTCCCTAAGCCAGCTGTTCTCCCCGATTTGACTCTGACAGTGTGTGAGTCCACACGGCTCATTTCTCCCCACAGCCCACTCTCCAGGCCTTTGCTAATGCCCCCCACCCACCACCAAGTTAGGGGTCACCTGCCCTGCCAGCAAGGCTCCCAGGCTGATGGCTGCCACCCAGTCCTTTCTTTTCGCCAGTCATAGGGCTTGAACTCTGGGCCTGGGCGCTGTCCCTGAGCTCTTTAGCTCCAGGCTAGCACTCTACTACTTGAGCCATGGCGCCACTTCCGGTTTGCTGGTGATTAATTGGAAATAAGTCTCATGGACTTTCCTGCCTGGGCTGGCTTTGAACCGTGATCCTCAGCTCTCAGCCTCCTGTGTAGCTAGGATGACAGGCGTGAGCCACCAGCAACCCGGCCCTCTGTCCTTTCTTCTACATGGGCCTGGAAAGCATGAGAGGGGTGGGAGGGGATACCCTGCATGGTCACACGGCGTCCCCCACAGAGGAAGGGCCAGGCGACTTACATTGATGTCTTCCAGTTCCAGGAAGTTCAAGGTGAGTCCGTTGCGCTTCCAGATGATTGGGGGCCTCAGGTCTCCGTGGATAGTGCAGGTGAGCACGGTGCTCAGCCCCACAGTCACTGTGGTCACGCGGACCCTGTCCTCTGGGGCCAGGCTGAGCTGGACCACCTCTGCAAGGAGGAAAGGAGTAGCCAGTCAGGTGCAGGCCCCGGGGTGAGACTTCACAGCCACAGCTCATGTGGTTTATTGGAGATAAGAGTTTTACGGGCTTTCCTCCTGGGCTGGCTTTGAACTGGGATCCTCAGATCTCAGCCTCCTGAGTAGCTAGGATGACAGGCATGAGCCACCAGTTCCTGGCCTGAAATTGTTTATAATGTGCCATCTACACACACACACGCACAGATGGGTACTTTTTTTGGGGGGGGAGTGGGGGATGGGCCATCACTTATGTCTCATGTCCAAAAGGTTCTGATGTGAGCCCGAACCAGGCCAGGCACACAGCTAACATGGAGGGGAATCAGCTAAAGTCTTGGGTTTGAATACTGGCTGGAAGGACCAGAGAGCCAGCATGCAGAGACACCAGGGAGCTCTCTGTGGGGTACACTGCTCACAGCTATCCTCCCCCTACCCCCCCCCCTCCAATTCCCCCGCCCCCTCCCCCCCCCCCCCCCCCCGGCCCCCGCTAGCCTAATGAAGTTGGAGCCCTGCTAAGTTCGGTCAAGGTCTGCTGGCGAGCCGACAGGAGTCTCGTCCGGCTGGGGCTACTTAAAGGTTGCACTGTCTGAAGTCTGGGGAATGAACTGGCTGACCTTTGAAGGTTTTGTTTCTGTTTGAAGATTCCCTGAACTCAGATTGGGCGGGGGTGGGGGGTGGGGGGGCGGGTTCTGTTTTGTGACCACACACTGTGGCCTTTGCAGATATTTTTTTTTTTTTGAAGGGCTACTGCAGGCTGGCCGAATTAAGAATCCCTGCCATTGTACATTTGATTCCTGGCATGAACACCGGAGCCATTCTTTAGGCAAACGAGGAGGGTCTGCCATCACAGGCTTTCCACAGTTCTCAGTCCTCAAACCCTGGCTGCTCAAATGCAAAACGAGATTAGGGTTGTGTGTGTGTGTGTGGGGAGGGGTAGTTACAGCCCACACTGATGGTCTGGATCACTTTTGCTCATGCTCCCCAAATCTGCCCACTGAAGCAACTTGGGGCAGCAGCCACAGGTGGCAGTTGCTGAGGTGACAGGCTGGCTTTGGGGGGGGGGTCCCAAGCCTATTCTGGGATGCAGGGTTGCCCTGGGAGGGGGGTGGTCCTGTCCGGTGTGTCCTCCAAACCCTTTGGGACAAAGCTCACAGCTGGGATGGATGCTCCAGGTAGAACATCTGGACCAGTGGTGGGGGGAGGGGCTGGGGAGAGAGAGGCAGAGGCAGAAGAGCAGCAGGTGAAGCAGATGGGGACTTGAAAGCAGATGCTTTAAAAATATATTTTTTTTTTTTGTAGGTGGTGGGGCTTGATCTGGGCCTGGGTGCTGTCCTTTGGCTCTTTCAGCTCAAGGCGAGTGCTCTACCCCATGAGCCATAGCACCACTTCTGGTTTTCTGGTGGTTCACTGGTGATAAGAGTCTCACAGACTTTCCTGCCTGGGCTGGCTTTGAACCACGATCCTCAGATCTCAGCCTCCTGAGTAGCTAGGATGACAGGTGTGAGCCACCTGGCAAAGCAGATGCTTTTGAGGTCAAGTTCAAAGCAACAATGCCCCTTCTCATCCACCACACACTGGACCCATGGAAAGGAGCAAGATCTACCTGATTGCTGCCCCAGTGAGTGAGCCGGGAGGCTTATTGCTCAGGGCACTGACCCTCTGTGGCCACCCTGAAGCTTTGGAGATCCAGAGGCAGGGAGGGAGATGGTGAATTCGCTCACGCTGACCCCTTAGTGCCCTCCAGTGGACAGAGGTCATCTTCCTCCTCAGATGACCACTGCCCTCTGGAAGCTGAAAGGGAAGGATGGAAGACGCCTTGTGCCCCAGGGGGTTGTGGGAATAAGACTATACGTGTGCAGGGATGGGGAACCACGAAGCACGCTGAAGGATACGGCGCCCTCCCCCGCAGCCCGCCCCTCCCACTGTGGCCAGCGGGTACCTCTGTGTCTCTGTACTGGAGGGTTTCTGTTAGATGTTAGCTCAGGGCTCTGGATGAGACACCCTTAGACCTCTAGGGGGTGCTCGTGGCTCTGGAGGAAATCCAGCTGGGGTAAGAAGCTATCATGCTGACTCCAGGTGTGGAGCTCAGACCAACAGCGCTCCAAGCGCTTGGTGGTTCTGTGGCCTGGAGGCCCCAGTGGGGGGCAGCAGAGTGTGGCCCCCTGCTTCTATGCTCACTCAGAAGTCAGCCTGAAAGGCAGATGGGGGTGGGGTGGAAGATCAACGCGTGGAGGAGTCATTTTCTTACGCAGACCATTCTTTATGTGGGCTGTTCCAAGTGTCAAGACCCAGCCTGCTGTGGAATCTGCCTGCCATCTTAGCTATTCAGGAGGCTGAGATCAGGAGGATCGTGATGCAAGGTCGGCCCAGGCAATAGTTATGAGACACCCCCACCCCCATCTCAATAGCAAAAACAGGCCCTATTTTTTTTCTTCTGGGGCTATAATCCTGTTATTTCAGCTGTGGCAGGAAGTATAAATAGAAAGATTGAGATGAAGGCCAGCAGAGTAAAAGGGGCTGCAAGTTAATGGAGAGGTCCTGCCGGGTGAGCAAGAGTCTGAATTCAAACCCCTGTTCAGCCACCCTTCCCTACCCACCGAAAGACACTGTCAGTTTGCGTTGGAAGGTGCAGGGAGGGTTTGCTGGACCCGAGCTCTGTTTCTCAGGGCTGGTTCTCTAGCCACCTGCATCCTTGTCTAGAGAATGGCCACTCAGAGTCTTGCCCCCTTGTCTGGGGAGCTCCAGACTCTCGTGGGTGGGTGAAGCCTGAGAACCTAGACAGGATGGGGACTGGGCTGGCTGGAGGTGAGTGGTGTAGGTAGGGGATGAGAGATGCGCGAGGGTGGCGGATGGGGTTTTTCCGGCGCTGCAGACACGGGGCCCTCTTGTAGATCACAGCCTCAGTGTGAAATATCAGACCTCTTCTCAAAGTCATATACTTGAAGCAGCTCTATTCTATTTGTTTGATGTCAGTAATGGGGCTTGGGATCAGTGCTGCTTTGCTCTCACTTGGCTTTTCCTTTTGCTCAAGGTTGACGTTCTACCACTTGAGCCACACCTCCGCTTGTGGCTTTTGGCTGGTCAAGAGATAAAAGTCTTACGGACTTTCCTGCCTGGGCTGGCTTTGAACCTTGATCCTCAGATCTCAGCCTCCTGAGTGGCTAGGATTACAGGCGTGAGCCACCAGCACCCGTCTGTGAAGCAATTTTAGAAGGAAGTCGGAAAGAACCTAAAACGTGGAGCAAAAAATAAACCCGACAAACCAAGCAACCCATAAGCATTCAAGCAACAGCTGGAAGGCTGCGTGTCCCTTGAGCCAGGGTGGCTGGCGCAGCAGCACAGGGCACCCTTCCTGGTTGAATCCCCCCATCATTTGTATGTATGGAGACGTCCAACTTTGTGCAAGGAAAACTCAAGCCGGCATTAGGATGCGTGCCTTACTGACAGAGCCATCGTAATTCTGCTCCTGTCAGCTACACAAATATTAACCAAACAGCAAATATTTGGATCATTTAAAGTTTAATTAAATGAATGTTTTATTGGATTTAATCCGTGTCAATATTCCCCAGCCCCTTTTAAAATTCAGAAGAGATTTATGAGCTGCTGAACCCTTGCTTCGCGCCGTCATTCCATTAGTTACAGTTCAACAAAGGCTTTCCCAGCAGGCCTGGCTCCCTTGCTAAGTGGCAAGGGGGAGGCTAACTGGCCTCTGAGCGTTGACCTGCAGGGAGGGACATAAATGAAATGGCATCAGGGGCTGAGTAGCCTTGGGCGGGTCCCTTCCGGCTCCCCCGTCCTCAATTCATTAATTAAGTTAGTGCCGGTCCTGGGGCTGGAATTCTGGGCCTGGGCGCTGTCTCTGAGCTTCATTTGTTCCAGGCTAGCGCTCTGCTGTTGGAGCCACAACCCCACTTCCGGCTTTGTCTGAGCGGGGGGGGGGGGGGGGGGGGGGGGGGGAGGGGGGAGGGGGGGGGGTTTGGAGATAAGAGTCTCATGGACTTTCTTCTCCCAGGCTGGCTTTGAACTGCCATCCTCAGATCTCAGCCTCCTGAATAGCTAGGATTACAAGCGTGGGGCACTGGGCTACCCTTAAGTTTTAACATCAGACAATACTCAGACAGAAACTAGAGAGAAGACATGGCAAGATTGTCCTGGGAAATCTGTCCAGGACCTTGTCAGGCTTAAGTAATGAACGCTCTCAGAAATGCTTGACTGGCTTCGGAAGAAAGAGGGTGGTCTTAGCTCCCACAGGGGTGGGGGGTGGGGTGGGGGGGAGCTGATGAGGATGTGGGATCCAAGGATGTGGGATCCAAATCTCTCCTGAGTACCCTGGAAAACAGCACTGGGGACCTGGCCTGGCCAGATGTAGCTCCAGGTGTTGGATCAGTGTGGGTAGGTGCAGTATTCGATGCATCAGGCCTGGGCTGGGTAGCTAGGCCCAGAGCCTTCATGCGTGCTAGGCAAGCACTCTACCACTAAGCCACATTCCCAGCCTAGGCCCCCGGGGTTCTACCTGCACACTCGAAGGCTGGAGAGATAGGCAGCCACGAGGGGGCGGGAGGGGGCGGGAGGGGGCGGGAGGGGACACGAGGCAGGAGGCCATACAACATCGGCTGCTGGAGAGCTGGGCTCTCCCTCCTCCCTTTCCTCTCAGGCACTATTTCTTACTCCGAACTTGAGCTTGACGGGGCGCTCGTACGCCCATCGGCACCCGCTCCGAGAAGAGACTCAGATGGCTTCATAGCCAGAGAAATTAAATTTCTCCAACTCTTGTCGAGCTGGTATTGAGTTTTCTTGTGGCAGAGATGTGCTAATGGAACACATTTCTACCTAGCTATCTGCTATTTTTCAAATGATGCTCTTTGGTATAAAGACCCCGTCAAAAGCTCAAACACCCTGCTTGTGTGTCAAGATTTTTTTTTTTTTTGACAGAGTCTTAAAGAACAAACCAAGACTCAGGGGGAGAAGGTGCAGG